AGTGGGGAGTAAACAAAGCTAATCCTTTTGTCCCTTCCCAAGGCCTTCCTTCTCCACCAAACAGATAATGAAGGTAACAGAACTTCATGGATAATCAATCTGCCCATGAGCATAAAAGGTGCTTGGATCAGAGCTAGTTTTAAAAATGTCATTAATTATCCAGTTAACAAAAAGGGAGGCTTCCTTTGATTGGCTCTGAGCAACCTGTCTACAAATCGGTTTTCTTAATTTAAAAACATGGGGATACTGGCTGTCATCATTTTGACGCATGAAAAAGTTACGGTAGCTACAATCTTTAAAAAACCATCTTGGCCTTAAAGATTCTATTTTATATTACGAAGCCGTGGGTCATGCTGTGTCAGTTTGGCCAGATGGTTAAAGGATTCTCCAGCAGCCTGGCGTGGAAGCAGTGCATGTGCTGGGAGGACTGCTCCTAATCTACTAAATCAGAAGTCATCCTGTATTCAGAATTTCTTACTTATTAAAAGCCTGAATAATTTAGTATGAAATTAAATAGGTGTTTCAGCTGGATCTTTAAGATTTTTTCTGAAATGAATTTTTCTATCTGATTGTAAATATCAATAGCATGCATGTTTGTAGTAAAAAATTTCAAACAGCCCTAACCAGTTTGGCTCAGTGAGTAGGGCATCAGCCTGGGACTTGAGGGTCCCAGGTTCGATTTCAGTCTAGGGCATGTACCTTGGTTGCAGCACATCTTACACTTTGATAAATGATCTTTTGGTAAAATGAGTTTGAAACTCTCTTGACCTAGAATTGGCTTTAGATCACTCTATTAGGCCTCTTGGAATCCCTCAAGTGTTTGTTTTCTCTCTCATGAAGGAAAATTTTCTGCTTACGGTACATGGAAAGCTTTGTCAAATAATAATAACCATATTATGCTTTCATTTATAGCTCTAATTGTTGTTCTGGAATATTGCGTTTTGCAGAAAGGACAAGATTCCATGTCATTTGCAAGTATTTCTGATTCTTAAATTTTTGTTTTTCAGATATAAAGAAGCATTTTAACACAATTTGGTAAATTATATATTCTCTCCACCTATCCCTCCAGAATTTGGCTATTCTTAATAAGTGGAAATACATTTCTTTGCACAAATTTGGTAAGACCTGTTTCCAATTGTAGCTATATTAACCAAAATAAAAACTGAAATTTGACCTACTTATAGAATCCATGACTTTGCTGCCTTTTGCAGAACTTGGTCCATCCAGCATTCTATGGGAATCCATTATAATGCACAAGGGCAGGCTATTGTTGAACATGCCATGATAATAAAACAGAAAAGGAGAAATATGGGACTCAAGGACCCTGCTATAATACTACCTAAAGCACTCTTTACCCTTAATTTTTTAAATTTGAATGATTCTTTTCTTTTTTTTAAAAAAAATATATTTTATTGATTTTTTTACAGAGAGGAAGGGAGAGAGATAGAGAGTTAGAAACATCGATGAGAGAGAGTCATCGATCAGCTGCCTCTTGCACACACCCTACTGGGGATGTGCCCGCAACCAAGGTACATGCCGTTGACCAGAATCGAACCAGGATCTTTCAGTCCCCAAGCCATTGAGCCAAACCGGTTTCGGCTTGAATGATTATTTTCAATCCTCAATAACCTCACCTCAGAAACCACAAGTCTTGTGGAGAGATGTGGACACTAATAGGACCCAATGAATTATTAACATGGGAGAGGATAAGCATGTATTTCTACCCCCACAGGGCCGCTGTAGATTCCAGCTCACGGGATTAAACCCTGCCACGGCATGGCACGGGGCCAATCCTCCTCCATAAATGAAGAATTTGGGTCTAGGTACTCTGTAGCCCTGAACGTTGAGCCTTCCCTGGATCCAGATGGTCCTTAGAATAAGCTGGGGAATGATGAAGAAGCTGATGGCAGAGGCTGAGCAATTATTGGAGTGTACTCACACTCCACACATTCCATATAACTAATCATTGCTCTTTTTGTTTTCCTTACAGTCTGTAAAATTGGAATTGGAGCAGTAAATGCGCTTCACAGACCCTGACATTCCAAAGCAGGAAGTTCACCACCTCCCTCTGTCTTCTACATTCAACAAAACAAAAAAGGGGAAATGGGGAACACAAGAGACTTGGTTGGAAAGTTTGTAAGGAGGACATTCTGGAAGGCAGCTATGCTCACCACTATTCCACCAACTCAACTTTGTCAGGAGGACATTCTGATAAAAGGGAAGTGTGTGGAAGGCCGCCTGCCCTGTTTGTCAGATTCTGACTTAAGGGAGACTTAGGGGAGTGTCGAAGGTGGCACCTCTAATTGTTCCTGACCTTTCCAAACAAGTCTGTGCATATGCAGACCCCGGTGTTTACTGGAATTCCTATGCTTAATCCCTGGATGCCCTTACCTAGAGGACAATGTAAACACATGTGTTCTTTCAAGATTACTCACCCTACTGGTTGTATCTAAAGATAACAATTCCAATAAAAGCCTAACAAGGCAGGCAATTGAAGCTGCTTGGACCATTGAGCCAGGCAAGCCCCTTAGCCCTCTCTTTCACAGTGAAACTGTGTCAGAGTAATCTGTTCATCCATTGTTCAGGGGCTGCTGCTGAGCCCTGGCTAACTGTTTTCTCATCTGCAAAATGGGGATAAAAATGGCTTTTTAGGACTACTATGTGGATTACTAGAGGCCCAATGCACGGATTCGTGCACATTGAAAGGAAATTAATTAGAAGAACTATTTTAATATCGCTATTCATCCATTCTCTATAAAAAGTCAACCAAATTTACCATCAACAATGACAGATCAAAACACATACATGCGTTTGGCACCACTGAGAGCTTTATATGTATTGTGCATATGTGAGTAAACTTAGCCTTTTATTTATATATTGATAGAATAAACTTGCTTAATTAGGCCTGCTTTCTGATTTAGCTATACTTTTTGCAGCCCAGTGAAGCACCCCAACTCCCCAACTTCTCTTTCAGGTTAGCAACACAGCAATAAATATCAACACGAAGCAGATTATTATTGTAGATCATGCAGGGAATACAAAGTGTAAAATATTTAGCTGTAGCAGTGTTTGATTGTGCAGTGAGAAAACTTGAAGTCATTTTCAAGATCCACCATTTCTTACTTCTTTTTCATAAGTCGTTTCTGAACTTTCTATTTTTTAAAAATATTTTTATTGATTTTATACAGAGAGGAAGGGAGAGGGATAGAGAGTCAGAAACATCAATGGGAGAGAAACATCGATCAGCTGCCTCCTGCATACCTCCCACCAAGGATGTGCCTCTGCAACCAAGGTACATGCCCTTGACCAGAATCGAACCCGGGACCTTTCAGTCCACAGGCTGACTCTCTATCCACTGAGCCAAACCGGTTAGGGCCGTTTCTGAACTTTCTAAATCTCCATTTTCTGTCTAATGACAAGAAAACTGGATTCTTCCAAGTTTCCTATCTACCTACTCCAGTACTTCTGTGAGGATCAAATGAGATGAGGCATGGGAAAAATGCTTCACAGACATTTGGTTAAAGTGTAAATGTTTCCACCTGGCTGTAAAGCAAGTGGGGTTCCTAGGCTAAAGAAACTCCAAGGAGGTTAATTGCTAGGGAGAGGAAGCCAGGTATTGCTACATGATGTCATTATCTGGGCACCCACGACCACCATTTCTGGGCTGGGCTGGGCTGTGGGCTGCATTTTGCACCATGGGGTCTTGGCACTGTTGGCTGTGATTTGGTGGGGTGTCACTCTGGGGTGGTTGTGGGGCCTGTGTCCCACTTGGGGGAAGTAGAGTGTTGGTTTGTCTGCACCAGATCTGTGGTGCTGGCCAGTGCAGGTCACAGCAGCTCCTGCATTGAGCATCTGCCCTCTCATGGTCAGTGCTCATCATAACAGATGGTTGGAGGGACACAGCAAATTAGCCTTTTATATATATATATATATATATATATATATATATAGATAGATAGATAGATAGATAGATAGATAAGAGATAATCTTTATGCTTGGCACAGAGAAAATACTCGATAGATAATGTTTATTGCTGTGTCTAAGAGTGAGTGTTCTAAATTCTGAAGTCAAACTACTAGGGTTCAAATTTCAGCTACTTATTAACTCTTCATCTTCTGCAAGTTATTTAACTACTCTGAGTAGGACTGTCTTCCTATATATGCAACTTCCCCGTGCAGTTGCCCAGGGCCTAATACTTGGTTTAATGCCCTGCTGTACCTAGCAGGGGGAGAGAAGAAAGCCAGGGGCAGTAGCAGGCACTTCTTTTGGCTGGAAGGACCAGCGAGCTGCAGGGGGGAAGCAAAGCAGGCCAATGAGCCCTGGCTAACGGTTAGCCAGCAGCCAGAGAGGACAGTCTATTAAGTCATGTACTTGGCAAGCAGCCAGAGGCGAGTGGTGAGTAGAGGGCTACGAGTTTTGAGGAGCCAGAGCAAATGGGGTCTGAGTCCCATGGGAGCAGCGAGGCAAACAGTGACTGTCAGCAGATGCCCGCCTAGCAGAGCATAGGGTGCTGCTGTGCGGCTCCCCACTGCTATGCCTGGCAGTGGTATTTTAGACAGAAAAAGGAAATTACAGAGTCTGCTGCTGCTTAGACTTCCAAACCTCACCTCTTGTTGCCCTTGGAGTTGGCTTCAGGAGCATATTATCTATAAACCAAGAGCTGTTGTGGTAGAATCACTGTTTCCCTCTGTTACTGAATCATGGAGGTCAGAGGTCACCATTATGGTTAGGGCAAAACAAACACTACTCCTAAACAATGCCATGGTACTGTCTTACAGAAGCCACGGAGGTCAAATCTTGGAGGAAACAGAGGTAAAAAAAAAAAAAAAAAATCTTGCAATTCAGTGCCATCTACTGGAATAGTAGAAAGACTTCTTCAGAGATAAGTGCGAAAACCAAAGAGGGCAGCAAATACGATGAGGAACCACAGTAATGAAGATGACCAGAAAGAAAATGAAAAGTTCTTAGTACCGTAGGTTGGAACACATAGAATTATATACTATAAATGATAGAGATTTTAAGATTGCAATCCTGAAAATACTCAAAGAGACATGAGGAAATACTAACAGGCAATTCAGTGCACTCAGAAAGCAAATCAATGAACAAAATCAGCATTTCTCTAAGGAAATTGAAACTTTAAAAACAAATCTATCAGAATTCCTGGAAATGAAGAATGATCTGTTGAGTGTAGAAAACAGAACCAACCAGTCAGAGTAAAGAACTAGTGATATTGAAGATAGGAATCAAGAAATGATGCAGAGGGAAGAAGAGAGAGACTTGAGAATAAAGAAGAATGAAAGAGCTCTATGAGACCTCTGACTGCATCAGAAAAAGTCCTATTAGAATCATAGACATTGTGGAGGAGGAAGAGAGGGAGCATGGAACGGAGAGTCTCTTAAAACAGTGGATGGAACTTCCCAATATATGGAAAAACTAGATTCTCAAATCTAAGAAGCAAACAGAACATATAGTTACCTCAATTCAAAGAGGCCCTCTCAAGGCACTTAGTAATGAAGCTGTCAAAAATTAATGACAAAGAAAAAAAATTTCAGAGCAGCCAGGGAAAATAAGGAAGTGACCTACAAAGGAAACCCCATCAGAATTTCATCCAACTTTTCAGCAGAAAGTCTATGAGCCAGGAGAGACTGTGACCAAATATTCAAATGTTTGAAAGAGAAAAATTATCAGCCATATATAATATATCCAGCAAAATTATTCTTTAAATATGAAGGAGAAATAAGGACCTTCCCAGACACACAGAAACTGAGGGATTTATCACCAAAACCCCTCCATTGCAGGAATACTCAAGGGAGTTATTCTATCTAAAACAAAGAACATAAGGTTACAACATTATGAGTAACATCATCAAAAACTTACAGTATACACAGGGAGCATTTGTGACAATAAAAACACACAAAGGGAAGGGGTAAAGGTCTGAACTGGCAAAGGAAAATGAAAATCAGATGCACTCAAAAGGGAAAAAAACTGGTATACAGGCATATGCAACTTCATTTTTTATAAACCTAATGGCAACCACACACAAAAATCCCTCAAATAAAACATAGAGCTTAAAAAAGAGAAAACAGCTGAAATCGGTTTGGCTCAGTGGTAGAGCGTCCATCTGCGGACTGAAAGGTCCCTGGTTCGATTCCGGTCAAGGGCATGTACCTTGGTTGCAGGCACATCCCCAGTAGGGGGTGTGCAAGAGGCAACTGGTCGATGTTTCTCTCTCATCGATGTTTCTAGCTCTCTATCTCCCTTCCTCTCTGTAAAAAAATCAATAAAATATATTTTTAAAAAATTAAAAAAAGAGAAAACAGTGGAAAGTGTGTAGGATACCACTGAACAAAAACAACAGACAGAGTATAAAGGAAAAATAATCAACGGAGGCACAGAGCTACCAGAAAACAAAAGAAAAAATAGCTGCAGGAAATCCTCAGACATCAAGAAGGGTCTGAATTCAGTAAAGAGGCACAGATTAGCAGAATGGATCAAAAAACAAAACCCAATCATATGCTGCTTACAAAAGACATATCTACACAGCAAAGACAAAGGTAGATTTAAAGTAAAAAGGTGAAAAATAATTCTCCAAGCAAATAACATCCACAAAAAAGCAGATACAGCCATACTTACTAGTATATCCAACAAAATAGATTTCAAGATAATAAGAGACAAGGATGGATACTTTATAATGATAAAGGGAACACTACATCAAGAAAACATAAAACTTCTTAATATACATGCACCCAATCAGGGAGCACCAAAATATATTAAACAGCTACTCATAGAACTAAAGGCAGAAACAGATCAAAACACAATCATAGTTGGAGACCTTAATACTCCATGACAGATCTAGACAGATCAACCAAACAGAAAATCAATAAAGGAATATCAGCCTTAAATGAAGTACTAGACCAAATGGACATAATGGACATGTATAGAATATTTCATCTCAGAACATCAGATTATATATTCTTCTCCAGTGCACATGGAACATTCTCAAGGACAGACCATATGTTGGGTCACAGAACTAGCATCAACAAATTAAAAAGGATTGAAATGATACCAAACATATTTTCTGATCATGATGCCTTGAAATTAGAAATCTACTGGAAAAAGGAAATAAAGAAACCCACAAATAGATGGATATTAAACAACATACTACTAAAAAATGTCTGGGTCAAAGAAAAAATAAAAGATGAGATCAAAAGATATATATAGAAAGAAACGAGAATGATAACACAACATATGAAAACCTCTAGGATGCAGCGAAGGCAATGATAAGAGGGAAGTTTATATCATTATAGGCTTGTTTTAAGAAACAAAAGAATGAAGTTGGAGGTATCACACTATCTGACTTCAAATTATAATAGAGTTACAATAATCAAAACAGCATGGTATTGGCAGAGAAACAGACACACAGATCAATGGAATAGAATAGAGAGCCCAGCTATAAAAACCACATGTATATGGACAGATAAATTTTGACAAAAGAGCCAGAAATGCACATTGGAGTAAAGACAGTCTCTTCAATAAATGGTGCTGGGGAAATTGGAAAGCCACATGCAAACAAATCAAACTGGATGACAGCTAAGAACCAATGACTTCACTCATACGTAGGATATAGAACTGAAACTCATGAACACAAACAGCAGTGTGGTGGCTGCCAGAGGGAAGGGGTGGGGAAGAAGAGGGTCCTAATATGAGGTGACAGGAGAGGATGTGACTTTGGGTGATGGGTACAGGGTGCAACATACAGATCTTGTAACATAGCTTCATACCCACATATGAAACCTATATGTTCACCTCGACCAATGTCACCCTAATTAATTTAATAAATAAAAATCTAAAAAAGCCCTGCTGCCACTTCCTTAAAACTATTAATAATGTTTGAATAAGGGGTTCTGCATTTTAATTTTCACAGGGCCCTGAACATCATCTAGCTGGTCCTGTCTCTAAGTTTTGTGTTCTTATGTAAAATGGAGGTAATCATACCACATTATTTTTCATAGGCTTATTATTTTTTAAGAATTTTTGTGAATTTATTTGAGCCAAACTGTTGACATATGCTGGGAAGCAGAACTCAATGAATTGAGAATGGAGTATTACATTTGTACTTATACATTGCAATCAAAGGAGGGACATAAGTGGGTTACATGAAATTAATTGATGATAGATTATGGAGGTGGGATAAAGCAAAGCAAGGGGGGGAGAGACCCGTGGGATTGGATAAAAAGTAAAATGATGGATACATACTTAGGTGGGTGCAGGAACAATTAACATGATAATGAAGGAATTTGTGGTATCTGTCCTGGCGCCCACCACCTTTGGTTGTGCCCCAGGGGCTCCAGAAAAAGGGAAGTTACAAGTTACCCAGACATTTCAAGGGTATGTTATCATAGATGCAAAAGAGACAGATAGGCTCAGTTAAGGTAAAGGTTGACCTTGTCAGTGAAGATACCGGCCTAGGACATAATTGCCCACCATAATTGCATTTATTTTTTTATTGTTTGAAGCTTTACAAATAGTAGTACATATATCTCCTTTTCCCCGCCCTTGACCTCCCCCCAGCCTTCCCTACCCTCCCACCCCCCCGCATATGCCTTCACCTGTTCTCCCCCCGCCCATGTCTAGTATCTATTGGTTATATTTATATCCTTGCATACAAGTTCTTTGGTTGATCTCCTACAGCCACACCCCCACCCCTCAACCTCCCTTGCCTTCCCTCTATAGTTCGACAATCTGTTCAATGGTTCTTTATAACTATTTCTCTCCCCCCCCCCATTTCTTTTTCTTTAAAAAATCTTGCAACTGCAGAAAAGAAATAAACATATAATAACAAAAAACGTTTGAGTCCCAATTTCAATGTCTAACAGTTCTGATACCCAGTAGTTCCTTATGTGTACACGTCAGCAATTATATCTGGATGATGGACAGATGGTGGCAATGTAGGTCCGACCCTCTCTGCTTTGGTCCTGGGCATAACTGCGTTTAGTTAAAGTTTAATTTCAGACCATTCTTTGTGGTTACTTTAGGTCTCTGAGTTTGCTCGACTGCCATGCAGGCCTCCCCTGAGCACGTGACTCAATGAGTTTATTTTTAACTCTTGGTTTAAATGTTTTTGTTTTTGTGTTGTTTTTTTTAAATATATTTTATTGATTTTTTACAGAGAGGAAGGGAGAGAGATAGAGAGTTAGAAACATCGATAGAGAGTCATTGATCAGCTGCCTCTTGCACGCCCCCCACTGGGGACCTGCCCACAACCAAGGTACTACAATACATGCCCTTGACTGGAATGGAACCTGGGACCTTTCAGTCCGCAGGCCGACGCTCTATCCACTGAGCCAAACCGGTTCGGAGGTTTAAATGTTTTTATCCTTTCCATTTGTCTCCTTTTCAAATATAATATTATCACACTGTGCTCACATTGGTCTATTTTATTTATTTTTATAAAAATAAAACATTTTTTATAGGAAGGTGAAATTTTAATAAGTCCAGAGCTGTGGTCGGCAAACTGCGGCTCATGAGCCACATGTGGCTCTTTGGCCCTTTGAGTGTGTCTTTTCCACAAAATACCATGCCCTGGGAGAGTCTATTTTGAAGAAGTGGTGTTAGAAGTTTAAGTTTAAAAAATTTGGCTCTCAAAAGAAATTTCAATCATTGTACTAGGTTGATATTTGGCTCTGTTGATTAATGAGTTTGCCGACCACTAGTCCAGAGCATACAGTCTCATGCTTTGCAATGAACAATCAGACACTACACGAATCAACATCTTTCACAGACTACTCAATGTCTTTATATGAAGAAATTGTTGCATTTAAAACTGAAGATATAACAAAATGTGGAGCAATTCCTAAACTTATATAATAGGAATATAGCTGGCTCTTGAAGATTGTTGCTTTTATGTAGAGCATGAAAGCAAATTTCAGTACTGTTAAATGCCCTCTTATAACTAATACTTGCAATTTAGATCTCTGCAATCTAAGGCAGAGAGAAATAAAGAACCACGTTGCACTATATTGGGGAAAATAAATTTGAATGAAAGATTGAAAAGGAATAAACCATTTCTGAGTGCTTCAAGTACAATAGCATAGTTGTCTTTATAAACAGAGTACTTGTATTTAATTTTCACCCATCAGCAGGTAGGAAGAGAAATGGAGAAAAGTGA